GCTTCTGTGTTTTGGTTGAACTTAAGACTTGTTTATCTTGACAAACTCATAACTGAGTCAAGATGGACTTGAGGGGGGCCTTAAGATAGCCTACAGTTATATTTATTATATATTAAAATTTGAAATTAATTTAACCAAAATCAAGAATAAAAGTTTTCAGTAACAGTGAATTTTTAAAATAATAATTTTAAAATAAATGGAGCCAAAATTATGAAACTGCACAAAAGAAAAAATGAGCTAGTTTATATGTACTTTTATAACCAAGTATAAATATTAACTTCCAATCAGAGCAAGCTACATACCTGACCATCAATATACACTTCTTACATTTCTATGTATAAAGATTAGAATTCACTGTTCAATAGGTTTAGAGAAAATAGCACACACTGTCATGTCTATTAGGTTGACAACAGTTTACTGAGCCGACCTAGATCACGCCTCAACATTATTATTTTGTTCTTTAGATTGAAAGCTCTCGAGATTTTGATGAACAATTTAGTTGAAGCCACAAATTTAGTAACACTGGTTGAAATCCAACTAGCTAACTATGACCAACTCTCAGCTGAAAGGATGACCCTTATTAAAACTCATGAGCAGCTAATGGTAAGTAGACGGTTTGAAAAAAATTGGATTTTTCTTTTTGTGAATATTCGTATATAACATTGTTTGTAACATTAGAGTCCTGATCTACTAAAAGTTATGTTACAAAATTTTCTTTTTATAGTCTTTGTTTTTTTTTCCAAGGAAGTTGTAACTTGTATATGTAGATAGTAGTTCTCTTGTTTTGACTGTTGTGAAATTCTCAACAAAAACAGTACTCATATGAGCATACAAAGGACTTTGTTCGTACGTGTAACTATAATATAGATTACAAAAAAATGAAAGAAAAACATACAACCACTGTTTTAATGGTTTTAAAGAAAGTGGCAACCAAATAAAACTTTTGTGACTGTAAACCTACCTCACTTGTTTTTAATCCCATTGAATCACAAAAAGACATATAACTTCTCATGATGTTGTTGCCAACAAGAACTAATATTGTTAGAGAAGTTAAGGATTTATTTGAAAAATATTTCATGATTGCTTAGATTCTGTGAAATGGCTGCTTTCTGAGATGGATAAAAAGTAGAACAAATAAGTCCCAATATTGAGTACTGGTTTAAAAAGAAGTCCCTATACTGAGTACTGGTAATAAAATATGTCCCTATACTGAGTACTGGTAATAAAATATGTCCCTATACTGAGTACTGGTAATAAAATATGTCCCTATACTGAGTACTGGTAATAAAAT